GATTTCTCTGTGTAACAGTCCTGGCTGTCCTGGCATCTGCTTTGTAGACCAGGCTGGCCTCGAACTCACAGAGATCCGCCTGCCTCTGCCTTCCGAGTGCTGAGATTAAAGGCATGTGCCGCCACTGCCCGGCCAGCTAGTGTTTTTAACTGATGAGCCATTTCTCAATTCTCCACCTCTATGGTTTTAAATAGACAACCTTTCTCACTTCCTGGCTTAAAGTTTTTTATATAGCAATTGGCGTAACAATAAGACTGTTAATTTGTGTGTAGGTAAAGCACATCGGTATCACAGCAGGGCCAGGCAGAAGAGCTGAGCAAGTTAACTACTGGATTCTTCTGGTCCCTCCCCAGTCTTGTAACTTTAGTTTTTCACTGTGCAAAGTCACTAGCATGCAGCCCGGGGATTAGAATCCAGAAGAGCATTTGGAGGTAAAAACGTATTTTAATTCTCTTACCACTGAAAACAGTTCTAGTCATGTGATGTGGGAGTGAGCACTGTGGACAGAACAGACTTGCTCTGCCGCTGTCAATCATATGCTCCTCCCTTTTCCTAACTCCACAGTTCTTGCATACACGTGGCTAACTCCGGACCTCACATGACAGAGGAGTTAAACCACAGTGCTCTGATCCTAATCTCTCATCCAAGTAAATGCGAATGGCCACACAGTTACAGTCGAGCGACCATCACGACAAAGATTCCACTGTGTGGATCCGGAATCTGTGCTTACACGGTCCTTACATGTTGGCATAACTCACCTCCCTGTATCATGTTCCCTTAGAGCAGTGGTTCTCAACCTTGACCCCTTAACACAGTTCCTCACGTTGTATTGACCCCCAACCACAAAATGATTTTCGTTGCTATGTCATACCTGTAATTTTGTTACTGTTATGAACTGTAATGTAAATATCTGATATGCAGGATATCTGATAAGCGGCAGGTTGAGAACTGTTGCCTTAGCTACATGTCAAAATGAAAACCACAGTGTACCTCTCATTCTCACAAGCAGGGAAAACTGAAACAAGAAGTCATATCAGCACACAAGCTACCTGTACTCAGCGGACTCACCAATGACCCCTGCCAGGGGCAGTTAAAATACACTTAGCTTTTCCTGCTTGTTCTTTTAGAAAACTTTACACGCATTGCTTTTGGATACAACTCAAAGCAATGTAGCTAATAAGGGTTAGCAAAAACTTCACAGTATTAAACAAAAAAATCTGAACTCTAATTTGTGAGCAAAATGTAGGAGCAAACCTAAGAAGATCACACTTCATGAGGCTCTCTCATGAAGAGGCTCACAAGCATCCAATAGGTCCTTTTGCAGCCAAAAAAGAAAACAGAAACAA